GACGAAATGCGCCCACACGAAATGAGAAATATATATCATCTAGCAGCTGCATCCACTGGTTCGAGCGGCTCGGAAGCGGATGCAGAAGACCAGGATCACTACACTGCAGCCGAAAGAGACGACAAAGTACTATCTGATGCACTGAAGTCGTTCAAGGGCCAGCGGGAATCGATATCACCAGAACACCACATCAGATTCACTCTTGTCAAGAATAGATGACCCAGGAAACAGAAGCCAACTCGTTTGCATTCCCCGAGCGTGAGTACTAGTCATCTTTCTCTCTAGTGTTGACATTAGCCTATCTATCTATTATCAATATGCCTTCTCCCCGACTTAACCCCTCTGCAGCAGGTTTTGTTCCCCGCCCTTCCATTCCCTGACTTTGTCTTTACATGACCAATGCATTTGGACTGCTGTCCAAACTTGGTTAGCTTCAGCACGCAGCGAAGATCTCGAAGCTTGAAGTTATTATCTTAACAGAGACCAAGCTCACTGCAGACACAGTTACCCAGGTGGAAGTCTCACTACCTGGATTTGCCCCTCCCAATTGTCGAGACCGCACCGCTCATGGAGCAGGAGTTGCAATCTGGATTAGGGATGGCATTGACTTTCAACACCTCCATGACATCAACGGTGGTGTTCACGAAAATATCTGGGTATCTGTTTACATGGCCCCCATACGAACACTGTCATTGGCGCTGCCTACAGGCCAGGCTCCTGTCTGGGCACTGACACCAAACTCTTCGAGCACCTTGATGCAACTCTTGACAGAGTTAGGCAGCATGGGTCGAAGATTATCCCAGGGCTTTCCACACTTGGAGGGAGAAACATTTGACTCGGGTCGGGAGGTGTCCCCCGGTGAAGTTTTTCTAGGAAAATGGCTTGCTGTTGGGGCCCGTGAACACATTTTTAACTGTCCACACACATGCAAGAACTCGTGCATTTTACAGCTACATGTACATGTACATGTACAATGACTGGCCAAACGCGACCTGGAAGCGCTGAATGGCCAACTGGACTAAAAGTCCCCAAAATAAAATAATCGGTTGTCCCTCTTTGGGAACAAAATCGGCCAGTTTGTCCGACAGGCGATCAAAAATCGGACGATTTCAGAAAAATCGGAGCAAGTGCCAGCCCTGTTATCCTTGCTGGCGACTTCAATGTGCACAACGGCTTGTGGTTAGGAAGCAACAAAACTACTCCTGCAGGGGAATGCACTGAGGAGATGTGTGTTAGCCACGGCCTGGAACAACATGTTATGATGAAGACGCAAGGGGACAATATACTGGATCTGATTATGTCTAACTATCTTTCTGACGTAACAGTCCGTTGCAAACCCTCCCTTGCCGCCTCGGATGTAACTCTGATAGCTGAATTTCCCCCACAAGCGTCGGAGGAACCTCCCACCAAACGAGTGGTCTGGCGCTACAACCTAGCGGACTGACCTCGACTTTCTCATTTTTATCCTCAATCTGACTAGACCACAGCCATCAGTAAACGTCCCAACAAATCATGTCATAATGTCACTGAGATCACTACACAAGGCATGAAGCAATTCATACCACCTCGTGAACTTGTAACCCGCCTGTCTGGCCAATTTGGTGGACACCTGAATGTTAAGCCCAGGTGAAGGCAAAACAGGAAGCTTGGAACCGCTCCCGCACGACTCCTTGGCCACAGCTACGATTGGGGCCCTTCAGGCAAACAGGCGTTGCACTCACTCTCTTCGCCAGGTGCAGGCAATACGCCTTGCCACGCTGAGGGACAAACTTTCACGTGGGAGCATGTCTGATCGAGAGTGGTGGTCCACGCTGAAGCAAGCAGGTGGTAGTGGGCGCAGCACAACCATACCAACTCTTGTTGACACTAACGGCGTCCGGGTTACGGCCAAGTCCCAGTAAGCAGAGTGCTTTGGCACGTTCTTTTCGTCAAAGTGCAGCCTCGGAGCAGACGACGTTACAAACGATCTGCCATCAGACGATCTGCCACCTGTAACACCTCACACTGAGTCTTGGCTTACTGCCGTCGACTTTCGAACGGATACTGTCAAAAGAGAGCTCAGAAGACTGAATCCCATAAAAGCCACAGGGTGCTGAAGAATTGTGCTAATGAGCTCTGCTTGCCTGTTGCCCAGCTGTTCTCCTTGTGCTTTCGGCAGGATGTGCACCGGAGGCTGTGGAAGGTCGCCGGGGTTGTTCCGATTCACAAGAAGAAAGCTAGATTAGATCTGCGCAACTGTCGTCCGGTGTCTCTCCCATGCATTTATTCCAAGACAATGGAAACAATCTGCAACCACTGTATCATAAACTTCTTCTCTAAGCACAGTATAATCTCCTCTCGACAATATGGCTTCCGGAAGGGACTCGGTACATATGATCAGAATTATTCTATTAACCAAGCTGCACAACGACTGGTCATCCACTGCAGCGAGCGGTGGAATGGTACATTAGTCTAGGAGCCAAGTCAGCAAAAGTCCAAGGAATAAGGAGTTACATGTACTGGCCATCGACATCGCCGAGGCGTTTGACAAGGTTTCACATCGAGGTGTACTCCATAAACCAGAGGCATGCGGCATCAGTGATCCGCTCATTCGCTGGCCCTCAAACTACCTCTGCTGTCGGCAACTACGTGCTGTAGTCGAAGGACAACATGCAGTCATCAGAATACCCTGTGCTTGCTGGGGTCCCCAAGGCAGTATCCTGGGTCCAACCCTGTTTCTGGTTTACGTAAACGACTGTGAGGAAGAAATACCGGATAGCACCTCGCTGGCTCTATACGCAGATGACACCACAGTCTACCAATGCATTGCGGCTTCGTGCGACATCCCAGATAGTGCGACCCAGCTTCAGCTTGCCGTGGACCCTATCGCCCGAAAGGGTACTGAGTGGAAAATAACTTTTGAACCGACCAAGTCCCTTTACGCTCACGATTGATTTTCACCGTCCGGCAACACCTCTTCCCCACGTACTGTTCAACGGTACCAGGGTGCCTGAAGTGGGCAAGATAAAGCTCCTCGGGATTTTGTTCGATACCACTGGCCCGCCTGGATGCAGTACAATGCAGGCACTAAAGCTGATAGGCCCTGGTGTCTCCGTACCAAGCCTGGAGCATAGGCGCAGGGTGGCGGCCCTGAGCTTCCTGTGCAAGCTCCGCTTCCTCCCACCGATGAACCACTTGAAAGCAATTATGCCCAAACCTCTCCAGCTGGCAGATGAAACCCCCAACACCCGTCTCTCCGCCCAGCGACGCCAGTCACACGACTTTCCATTGTGCCTGCCTTGTCGTTCCCGCTCAACCATGGCCAATGCTCTCCCTGCTTGCGGCTGAGCGCATGAAACTCTCCAACTGGATGGAAGCAAGGCTTGTAAACCTGCTACATGAACTTGCTGAACTACACGCTCTCATGTATTCTCTTTCTCAATCTCCCCCCCCCCCCCACCCCTTCCCCTCCCGCTTCCCCTGTTCTTTCTCTTTCCCTCAAACTTCCATTTATCTGGTGCCTCCAGAGCATGACGATGTCTAGACAAGTTGGTCGACGGAGCGCCTGGCCTCCACCACGATGGTTGCTGCATGTTCCCATTGCGTGCACCACATGGCTTTCAGTAAAAATATAAAAGGACTCAGTGTTCTTCCTCCCTCTGGGTCACCTTCTTTGTACCAGCTGCATTATCAACAAACTGCATTAACTGTGGACGACCGCTGGCGACAAAGTCATACTGGTATGGCAGTTTGGTATCTTCGAAAACCTTGTCGTTACACGGAATGCTGCTTATCCGCTTCATTACGCCAGTAGGGATAATCTTCAGGATTTTTGGTGGGGGGGGGGGGGTTGACTGCAAGTCCATAATATATGATGGGGTGCTATTCGGTTTGCGATAAGATTGGTAGGTACTCGGGTGAGTTCCGCATCATGCCCGGAGGTGTGTCTCAGGATTGCGAAACTATCATAGCTGCATAATTCGAGGCTTCTTTCCTGAAGAAGAAGCCTCAGTTTACTTAGGATGTATTCACTCACCAACTCGCACACTTTGGCGACATCAAACGATCCCATATTTACTTCAAAAACGTTATTGTTCTCTTTCTTCATCCAGGCTTCGCCCGCAGTCAAAATGCAAGGAATTGTTGCCCTGCAGCATTATGTCATTATCTATCTGGGGAATTTTGACATACAACCTGGCAGAAGATAATGCCTGTAGTATGAGCTATCTGGTGATTGATGGATAAAAATTCGCTTAAGTGAACACGAGAAATTCCTTGGCTTCTCGTTGAAGTAGCGGAGCCAGTTAATGACCGACTATCTGTTGTGCCATAAAGTGTGGCTGACGGTACTGCGGGGCATGCCAATTATCCCATGTTAAACTGCCTGGCTGACCATGCCTATTTTACATGTCGCGGGAGGTTTTAGCTGGCAGTGGAGGAAGTCAGTGAACCCGATCTTGTCGTCTTTCCATGTCACAAAAAAAAACACTTTGTTTTCATGGCTTTGGCATTGATGTCGCTGTAGGCCGCATCTTAAAAAAGGGTATTTCTTGGTGATATTCTTGTGGAGTAGGATCTGATACTTTTCGGTAAGACTACAGTACAGGTTGCGCAACTCGTTGGCTGAAACTGCCACCTGCGTTTAATGAAAATTGATATATTCGCCCCCCCCCCCCCCCCCCATTCGGTGCGGTACTGGATAGCTTTGTCTGCTCTAGAGCTGGGTCAGCCGAGTCGGTGTACCGGTTTGGGCATACTTGAACCCGTTTGGAAAAAGAACACCGGGTCACCTGTGACCCGGCTGGGAATATTTAGTCATTATACATCGGGGAGTCCTAAATAGTTACAACTCCGTAATGCAGTAGCAACACTTGGACGGACGTGGCGCTGGCCCGGTTTCATGGGTTGTGCCAGGTAAAAGTGAGCCTGATTGGCTTGAAATCCTAGTGCAGACACTGCATAGGTGCACTCACAGCTCTCAAATGTCCCGCAGTTCTTGCCAACGACATATGCATACTTACCCAGTCTGTCAAATTAACCTGCGCTTTAGCATTGCACAATATCTCAGCACACTCAGAAAAGCCTTTCTCGCAGGCTAGGTGGAGAGGTGTACGGCGCCGCTAAGGCACACAAACAGTCAACAACAGGACTATTCATTAGTTTAAGGTGCTGAAAAGGGACCCAAAGTTTAAAGAAAAAATTGACTGCCACTACCAGGATTACAAAAATTTAGACCAGTGATGTTCAAACCACGGAGCTATGGTATAGCTGTCATCTCAGCAAAGACGGTTAATAATGTATTCAGCCTAAAAAAACTCACACTTCCTCTTACACTAACCAGGCTGGGGGGAGGGGAGGGAGGAGGGGAGGGTGGAGGACGGGAGGGGTTTCAGCTCCCACTATACGCACACTCTTCGATTAGCTCAATCCCAAACTACTGCTAGTACTTGACAAACCGAATGTATCAGTTGCACATTGGTTGAGTGAGTTGAAAAGGGGAAAAAGGACTTCTAGAGATCCTTAGCAAAAAGAGTGTAACATTCGAATTAACTTTCATGACACTCACTCCCAGCCCTGAAAAATGCTGTTAAAGTATTTGCATTCTCTCTTTGTGAAGTAAAAGAAGAAAACACATGGGAACGAGTTATGAAGCAACTATCCACGACTGTAAAAAAAAGTTAATTATCGTGTCCATTCCCGAAGGGAACTCACGACGGCCGCTAACACCCGGTAAACCCTAGCGGCAGATGCAGCGATGCAGCGATGAAGCAGATGCAGCGATGGGGTCCACGACTGTAACAAGATGATAAGTGGGGCTGAAACGATGACACATCTGTGCCTAACGGTTAACTGTTAGCCTAACGGTCGGTTAACAGTTATAACCTGTAAGACTGAGACAAAGAAACTTTATTGTTTTTGATGCCATTTATGCCGTTTTTCAAGAATGTTCATGATGACGGCCAAAAAACTCAAAAAATTAATGACTAGTACAGTAGTAACATAAACTGGGTACCTATAAAGTGGATATATTGTAGAACAGGTCGAACTGACATGTCACTCAGTTATCTGAAAGTGACTAAAAAGGAATTTTAAACCTTTGCACATTGATTACCAGCACAGCCTGAAGCACAATTAGAAATTTCAGCACAATTTTCACCTTCAAACTGAGGTCATAACTTTAGCATCCTTCACTTGATTTTCCCAATTTTGTGCTCTTTGGAAAGCTCCTGATGAGAACAATGCAATGATACCAGGTTCCACGGACCAACCTCCACATACCAGGCGTAGGAACACAGCAAAGTCGTCCCCAAGCCTGGTATGCAAGTAAATTGGTCCCATCGACGCCATTTCACTCTCCTCCATTGCAGAATGCACACACATTACGGAGCATCAGCAAATCAAATTTCGGTTCCATTACAGACGGGTCAAAATGAAAAACTATGCGAAAATTCGAATGAAAAAACGGTTCAGCATGTAGCAGCAATTTTTGACTCCGCCACTCGAGTAAGTACTGCAGTCTGTAGTTCTTTTCGACCTTGAGAAGTAAACCTTTTGAGATGTGCTGTGGTTGTTGCATTATAACAAGAGTACGTAAGCTTTGAATGGCAGGATAGCAAGTCGATTGCTGGACTCGCTTCTCCTCCTGGGTGGAGATCACCTGGATAGAACAGAGTTGCTGGTGTTTCTCGTGGTCGTTGAGGACAAAGCGAAGCGACGGATGCTTCATCTGGTTGAGGCCATTGGCGATCAGATCTCTTTGGCTGATCTTGATGAAGAGACTGCCATCAGCCGTTTTTGCTCTGTCGAGGCTCTGCTAAAAAAGGAACATTAGTTGGTGGTTACTTGGGCTAGGTCACTACTGCGCCAAGTGTTACAACAGCTGCTCCATGTACTGGACTGCACTGGAGCGCTGTGCAGGTACATGTACGCAGATACGAGTACCGCTCCATTATGTACTAGTAACGTTACTGTAGCTCCGTGCAAGACCACTGCTCCTTGTACTAGGGCATGGAGTGCGCGAGCTACATTTAAAACTACTTCTCTGTTCACAGGCCTTTTTCAGTCGAAAGAAGCCCTAGTTTCGACTCTTTGAGTTCCTGTAGTGACGATTCTTGAATTTCACTCGAAAATTCAATTTGCTGATGCTCCAAATTATTTTTGACACAATGAACATCAAGCCTTTACGTTACTGTGCCTTTTCTCACTCGCTCCAAAGGCACGCAAAAAAGGATTTTTCCCTGAGGATAGGTGCATTAGCCACGGCCGGGAACAACATGTTAAGATGAAGACCCGAGGGGACAATATACTGGATCTGATTATGTCTGACTATCTTTCTGATGTAAAAGTCCGTTGCAAACCTCCCCTTGGCGCCTCGGATGTAACTCTGATGGCTGAATTTCCCACACAAGTGTCGGAGGAATGTCCCACGAAACGAGTATTCTGACCCTACAACCTAGCGGACCGGCCTCGACTTTCTCGTTTTATCGTCAATCTGACTAGACCGCAGCCATCAGTCAATGTCCCAACAAATCATGTCATAATGTCTTCGACATCATTTCACAAGGCATGAAGCAATTCATACCATCTCGTGACCTTGTAACCCGCCCGTCTGACCCTCCTTGGTGGACTCCTGACTGTTCAGCACAGGCGAAGGCAACACAGGAAGCTTGGGACAACTCCTGCGCGAGTCCTCGTCCACAGCTACGACTGGGGGCCCTTGAGGCGACCAGGTGTTGCACTCACTATCTGCGCCAGGCGCAGGCAATACGCCTTGCCACGCCGAGGGACAAACTTTCACGTGGGAGCATGTCTGATTGGTGAGCCACGCTGAAGCAAGCAGGTGGTAGTGGGCGCGGCACACCCATACAAACACTTGTTGACACTAACGGCGTCCGGGTCACGGCCAACTCCAAGAAAGCAGAGCGCTTTGGCACGTTCTTTTCGTCAAAGTGCAGCCTCGGAGCAGATGACTTTCCAAACGATCTGCTATCAGACGATCTGCCACCTGTAACACCACGCACCGCATCTCGACTTACTACAGTCCACTTTTGAACGGATACTGTCAGAAGAGAGCTCAGAAGACTGAATCCCATGAAAGCCACAGGGTGCTGAAGAATTATGCCAACGAGCTCTGCTTGCATGCCGCCCGGCTGTTCTCCTTGTGCTTTCGGCAGCAAGTGCAACCGAGGCTGTGGAAGATTGCCCGGGTTCTTGCGATTCACAAGAAGAAAGCTAGATCAGACCTGAGCAACTGGCGCCCGGTGTCTCTTCTCTGCATTCTCTCCAAGACAGTGGAAACAATTGGCAACCACTGTTTTCTCTAAGCACGGTGTATTCTCCTCTCGGCAATATGGCTTCCGGAAGGGACTGGGTACATCAGATCTGTTATTGAAGCTGCACAACGACTGGTCATCCACTGCGGCGAGCGGCGGCATGGTACATGCACTGGCCATCAACATCGCCGAGAAGTTCGACAAGGTTTCACATCGAGGTGTCCTCCATAAAGCAGAGGCATGCGGCATCAGTGATCCTTGGCTGGCTCTCAAACTACCTCTGCTGCCGGCAACTACGTGCTGTAGTCGGAGTACAACAGTCATTGGAATACCCTGTGCTTTCTGGGGTCCCCAGGGCAGCATCCTGGGTCCAACCCTGTTTCTGGTTTACATAAACGACTGTGAGGAAGTAATACCGGATAGCACCTCTCTGGGTGTATACGCAGATGATACCACCGTCTACCAATGTATTGCGGCCACGTTTGACATCCCGGAGAGTGCGATCCAGCTTCAGCTTGCCGTGGACTCCATCGCTCGATGGGGTGCTGAGTGGAAAATGGCTTTCGAACCGACCAAGTCCCAGGCACTCACGATTGACTTTCACCATCCGGCAACACCTCTTCCTCACATACTGTTCAACGGTACCAGGGTGTCTGAAGTGGGCGAGACAAAGCTCCACGGGGTTTTGTTCGACACAACACTGCGATTCTTGGCCCACATACGCCAGGTTGCCACCAGGGCCCACCAACGCTTCCACTTTCTCCGGAAGATGGCACCACTTCTGACAGCACCTGGCCGTATTGCTGTGTACAACGGCTTCATACAACCAACCATGGAGTACTGCTGTCTAGTCTGGATGGGGGCTCCACTGGCCCACCTGGACGCTGTACAACACAGGCACTAAAGCTGATAGGCCCTCGAGTCTCCGTACCAAGCCTGGAGCATAGGCGCAGGGCGGCGGCCCTGATCTTCCTGTATAAGCTCTGCTTCCTCCCACCGACGAGCCACTTGACAGCAATTATGCCCAAACTTCTCCAGCTGGCAGATGAAACCCCCAACACCCGACTCATCGCCCAGGGACGCCAGTAACATTACTTTCCCGTGTGCCTACCTTGCCGTTCCCGCTCAACCATGGCCAATGCTCTCCATGCTTGCGGGCTGAGCGCATGAAACTCCCTACCTCGGAGAATCCTCACACAGCAGCCATACAAGAACGGGATGCTGCAGTTCAAGAAGATGGTCCACCTTCACCTGGTGACCAGCAACTGGATGCAAGCAAGTCTTGTAAGCCTGCTGCATGAACTTGCTTAACTACACGCTCCCATGTACTCTCTTTCTCAATCTCTCCCCCCTCTCAAAGTCATACTGGTATGGCAGTTTGGTATCTTCGAAAACCTTGTCGTTACACGGAATGCTGCTTATCCGCTTCATTACGCCAGTAGGGATAATCTTCAGGATTTTTGGTGGGTGGTTTGACTGCAAGTCCTTTATATTATTATTATTATTATGGGGTGCTATTCGGTTTGTGATAAGATTGGTAGGTACCCGGGTGAGTTCCGCATCATGCCCGGAGGCGTGTCTCAGGATGGCGAAACCATCATTGCTGCATAATCCGACGCTTTTTTCCTCAAGACGAAGCCTCAGTTTACTTAGGGTGTATTCACCCACCAACTCGCACACTTTAGCGAGATCAAACGATCCCATCTTTACTTCAAAAGCGTTATTGTTCTCTTTCTTCATCCAGCCTTCGCCGCAGTAAAAATGCAAGGAATTCTTGGCCTGCAGCATTATGTCACCATCTCTCTGGGGAATTTTGACATGCAACCTGGCATAAGATAATGCCTCTA